GAGCATAGTCTCCAGGAGGATCTGCTCCATACTTTGAATACTTATCATTGCTTTTAATAACTTTCATTATTTGTTTTAAAGACAATTGTATTTAATTTGAGACATTTTATTTAGCATATTAGAGAAAATTGGATTTTTCAGATTGCCATAGCTCATTACGTTTATTCCTTCTTGTATTGGATGTATATGGCAAGGTAGTTTTGGTAGCAGTGGAGGCTGCATGGGAAGATGTCAGGGACTGCACCGTGCCAGACACCTCAGCAATCGGCCCACGATAGGCCAAAGCTGAGAGCCATCTAGCAGAGTTTGTGGTGCCTTTGTGAAAACATGATTAAGAAAGAGCAAAAAGTGCCAGACAGGTGGAGAAGAAGGGAACAGGAAGTGAGAAACAGCAGAGGTAGCACCAAGGTCGGAGGAGCAGGAGGAGAGGAGATGCTCCATGATCGACAAGGCAGCTTGTGGAGGACCCCGTGCCACAGCAGGTGGGTGTACCCTGAAGGAAGCTGCAGCCTGTGGAGAGCCCATGGTGGAACAGAGGAAGGTGTGACAAGGAATGAGCAGCAGAGAGAAACTGCTGTGTAGTGACCACAGTCCCCATCATCCCCGCCCCTTCCCAATCCCCACTGCACCACTTGGCGCAGGGGCAGAGAAATCTGGAGTGAAGGAGTGAAGGTGAGCCTGTGAAAGGGAGGAAGAAAGAAGTTGCTTTAATGTTTGTCTTTTTGTTCCCATTGCCTGAATCTGTAATTAGATATTTATTTTCAGTGGCAATAAATTTAGTTAATTCTCCCCAATTCAAGTCAGGTTTGCCTGCAGTGGTATTTCTTATGCAGTCTCCCTGTCTTTATCTGAACACATGAGCTTTTCTGTTCCTGTTCTACCTATTTTCTACCCCCATCCCTATTTGGGGTGGGGCACTGGGTGGGAGTTCAGCTGTTAGCTAAGGCTAACCCACCACACTTCTCTTTTGGGGACTTCATAATTTCAGTGGAAGTACACTAAACTGTATCATGTAATAATCTGGCTTGTTGAATTTCAATGATCTTTACCTACTTGAAAACAGACTGGTTAATCTTACCTTAAGAAAACTCTGTTCTCCAAGAAGTCATCTCACTTGCCAGAAAAGTACGATAATAATAAAATCACTGGCACTATTCATTTAGAGGACAAAAGCTGGATCATGCTTGGGAGGACTGATCTCAGATAAATGTCATGTAGACAGTAGCATGATTTAGAGCCCAACTTCTCGATGTACAAAATTACACTTTTGCCTGATGCATAAATTCTGTTCTTTAACTGTGCAATTAGAATAACCAAACCCCAAATTAAGTCTTGGGGCAAGAGAACATTACTTTAGTAGGTATGTGAAAGAATGAAGTTTTTGTGATTCTGTTTTCTTCTAGCATGTCTTCTCCCTCAGTGTGGAACACAATTGTATTAGTAAAATTTCATCTTGGTTCTAGATTTCATTGAAATTCAACTTTTTACATTATTTTCCAAATCTGCTCTACCCTATTACTACTTCCTATTGCACATTTATCTCTCTAAGATTTAGACCTTTTTAGCTGTATAGGATTTGTCTGGTTTAGACCTTCAAATTAAATTCTGATCTTTCTCACAATCCCAGGAACTTTGAAAATAGTAAAATTTTGGCTAATAAGAGCTGCAACTGAAAGCATGCCTCAACAAGTAAATTGTTCCCAGAGAGACAATATATTGAAGCTTTGGGTGGTTCTTTCCATTTAGCTGCTGTTTTCCATGTTGTCTTCCCTTTCCTTAATCTTGTAACAGGCAAACATTACTAGTGAGCTAAAGGGATAACAGAAACAAAAGTTTACAATGATGGCAAACTTGGTTAAACATCAAGTGTACTTTAAACCTCCAATTTGATAATTACTGCCTATGGGACTTCTCTTGATTAAACTGCCAGTCATTGTCAGTTTGTATTTTTGTCATACAGAGAAAATTATTGGGGAAACAGAGAGGAAATATATTTTGCTTGGGAAAAATCATCTGGGTCATTATTTCCAGGATTGAGGACTAAACTTTTGAAAGAAGTTAACTACCTTGTCATGTCAAGCTTCTACAAGTATAGTTAAAAAAATAAAAAATATTTCACAGAATTGTCAAAAATATTATTTTACTGAATGTAAGAAATGCCGTGCTTTACTGAAGAAAAATAAAGCTCATTTAAATCAATATAGATGCTGTATATTCTGTTTTCAGGCCCAAGTTCTTTAGGTAACATTGTAGAAGATGTTACACATCCATGTAATCCGAATCCATGTGCAGCTAATCAGTTATGTGAAGTAAATAGAAAAGGATGTCAATCTGGAGAACTGTGTCTTCCATATTTGTGTGTGCCAGGTAAGGGGTTTTGGACTTCCGTTTACCTGAATTTTGCTGATAAAGATATGTTAATGAAATTTTGTTGAAAGTTTTAAAGTGAATTGCTGATATCCCAAAAGAACTATTACCACAATTATCTTGTGTTTTCAAAAGCTATAGCCTACCTTCTAGCTCTTTTGATTTCTCAATGATGTTTCTATTTTTATTGTCCACTGAAACATAATGTCTTATTAGAAGATATATTAGTTATTTTCCTTCAGAAGAAATAAATCTCCATACATGGTCTCTGAGCAGCCTGCCTGCTATTTAAAATTACAAACATGCAATACTGCAAATACAGTGCTGCTCACTGCTTCTGCAGACACCATGACATGTATCACCCTGTATTTCCATATATAGCCTGTAGCCGTATCTGCATTATTTTCCTTACTAGTAAAAAAAATAGACATTATGTCTTACCTTGAAATCAGTGAAAATCAGAAAAAAAGGCAGAACCACAAGGCCGATTAGCTCTGTGTCTCTCACAAATCTGTATGTGGACTTGTAGTTTGGAGGAAGAAGACACTGACTTTGTGAAACAACAAAAATATGAATAATGGATCTTGTTCTGCTTTGTCCTTCCACGAGACCCATGGTACCACTTCTCATTAAAGATGATGTGTGGAGATGCAGCAGTACACAGCTGACTGCATTTCTGCTGCTGCTTCATTGAGAGATACTTTTAATGTAGGTGCACCTCCCTACAAAGGTACTTGTGGTTATTTGGGAACTTTTGGAACGTAGATGTTGTCTAACTTCTGCACCATATGAGCTGATTGGGGAGAGAGCCTCATGAAGAATGAGTTTCAGCTATCTAACTTTGAAATGGCAGGCTTGGCTGGTGTTGATAACAAGGATCAAATCTACAAAAGGAGGTGAGAGACTGTACGATGTCCAACTTCTACAGCCTCTTCATTGTTCTACCTCAGACACCAGTTGTGCTTGCCACAATTTTTCCCCTTCCTTTAAAGCAAAAGATATCATTCAGTGACATGAGGGATCACCTGTGGTTCTTGAAGCAAAGAGGAAAGCTTGCATTTGGTGACCGCCTGAACACATGTGTTGAGAGAGACTGAGCGAGTGAGAGCAACACTGATTTTTAAACTGAATTGCATGATGCAGCGTCCTTTTTTGGAGGAAGTGATAGAGAACATTACTGTAACTGTCTCAAATCAATTCCCTGAGCCTCTTTTTTTCCAGCAGTTCTGTGGCTGCTCACCAGCTTCTCCTATGATTTTTAATTACGAAGAGGAAAACTGGGGTTTGCTTCACTCGTACATCTGCTACACTTGTGCTCTTCTAAAAGTGAGGACAGACTTCAGCTCATTATTTTTGTGAGCCTAGGGGCATTGTTTTGGTTATGTTTCTATGACCCTTACAAAATACTTTTGTTTTTCTGAAAACCTGAGCATTATTACTATAGAGGTTGTATTGTCTTCATTTGCTGCAAAAGTCATTCAAAGTGATCTGAAAACAAGCTTACCCAGAGCTTTTGAAGAGACAGTTTACTACTTCTAAAGGTTGGAGGTGACTTTTCTGTTTGAATTCAATCTTTTTATTAGTTGAAAGTTTCGGGAGATTTGTTGCAGTTCATGACTTCTAGGGTAGTTTTCATAGAATCATAGCATCTTTTTGGTTGGAAAAGACCTTTAAGATGATCAAGTCCGACCATTAACCTAGCACTGCCAAGTCCACCACTAAACCACATCCCTAAGTGCCACATCTACATGTGTTCTAAATACCTCCAGGGATGGTGACTCAACCACTTCCCTGGGCAGCCTGTTCCAATGATAACCCTTTTGATTAAAAAAAAAAAAAAAAAAAATTACTATTTCTTTTGTTATTGTTTCCTTGCAATGTTTAATTCCTTGCAATTTTAAAACCATTTTTCTTCTTTGCCATTCTTTTTTTTTTAAACCCAGTTTTCCTGCTTTTTCTCCGTTTCTCCTCTCTTCACGTCTACCTATAAGAGTCTTTCAGCATTCACATAAGAGGTACAAGTAGGGAAGGGAGACACAATAAAATACGTGAAAGGGGGAAATGACTGGGATTTGCTTGTGAGACCTTTTAATTCAGTTTGTCTATTGGAGAGAGTGAAGCATATGTGGTATTTGTTATATCACATACGTTTCATACTACTACAGAACCATGGAAAATGAGATTACTTGAGAATTGTTGGCATGACCGGTCTTTTTTTCTCTGAAGTGACATTTCTACAGGTACTTCAGAACATTGTCTCAAGCAAATACCTTCTATTTCTGCTACTTGCTGCCTCTATGAAATGAGTGAATTTGTCTAAAGGGCAAGAGTAAGGCTGCTTTGGGAACACCTTAGCTTTTTCACAAATCAAAGAGTAGTAGTTATTTTTGGTAGGGGCACTTGCCAAAGTATTTACTAAATATGAGCTAAAATTTCTCCTTGCATATAGGTTGCAAACTGGGGGAAGCCTCAGATTTTATTGTCCGTCAAGGTACACTTATTCAAGTTCCATCCTCAGCTGGTGATGTTGGTTGTTACAAGATTTGTACCTGTGGACACAGTGGCTTGCTAGAAAACTGTATGGAAATGCATTGTGTTGACCTCCAAAAATCATGCATTGTTGGAGGACAAAGAAAAAGTAAGTATTAGAACAGTACTTGTATCTTTATACAGCACCGGTTACTTAAGTAATGAATTTTGAGGTACATATGAAGACCCAGAGGATCTGAATGCAGAGTTTATCAGAAAATACAAAAGTTAATGTTTGCATCCCCATATATAATACTTGTTTAATTCTTACATATGCTGGAGGGTTCCATTATTTAAACCCGTACTCAATTGTGTCTGTGTCAACCAATGAAAGTCCTGTGTGAAGAGTGTTCTTAGTACACCATTTTTCAACCAAAAAGTCACTGACTTGCTTCACATCACTTGTATTTTATAGTACTTGATAATAGGCAGCTTCCTTTCTGGTAGAAGAACTTGCTGGTGGGACCTCTGAGGGCTGAGGAGGGAAAAAGTTCTGAGAGGAGCCAGTAGGCAGCAGGGATGAAGCAACAACAGCAAAGCAAATTGATCGGCTTTAAGTGTGCTGTAGTTCTGAGGTTTAAGCACAGTATAACTGCCTATAAATGGCTGCCCATTTCCTGGATTCCAACTTTGCTGGTACTCTGAGTCTACTTTTAACAGCATGGGATATCCAGTGACCAATAGAGGTGTCCGGGGAAGAGTATGAGAAAAGGCAGAGGACTTAATCATACTTGCCATGAAGTATGAATATTCTACCAGAATCTGGTCTGGCCATCAAAACCCTTGAGCAGGAGGAGATTTCTTTACTGGCCTCAAATGGGTTTGCGGGTTTTGGTTTCGGGGTTTTTTCCCTTCCTTGGATTTTAAATACGGGTTTAAAAAAAGTCAGAAACTTTTATCATGGCAAGAAATTCCACATGTTAAGATATGTGTATCTAAAAACCCTCTTTTTTTTTTTTTTTTTGGTGGGATGTGCAAGGGAATTATTTTAATTTAAGCCTCAAATAGTTTTTTTTCATCTCATTCCTCTTAGTTCCTGAGATTCGTCCTAGTTCTTGTATTGAAAAAGTTGATGAATGATTGTGGCTTATTTGCCTCCTCTTTCAGACCTCTGTCATATTCCCCTCAGCATTCTGGGTTTTTCTCCAAGTCAGTTCGTATTCTATTTAACCAGTTGTATACTTTTTGATCATAATTATTACCCTACCATGTACCTTTTTGTAGTTCTTACATTTTCTTTTGAAATGGAAACTGGAACTTCGTGCACCATTCACAGTCAAGTGCCCAATCAAGTGTACGTAATAGCAAAATTACATTCCTTTTATATGATTCTGAACATTATCTTTTTTTGGCTACTAAATCTATTGAAGTCATGCTTTCACAGAGCTGTCTGATGTAATGCCATGGTCCAGTTCTTAAGTGGAAATGGTCAGCTCCTTGTGTGATTTGTAGAGAAACATTTTATGTTCAGTACAATGAATTTCTTCTGCTATAGCCGTTCCTAGTTGCTCATTGTGGTGAGATTTCCTTGCAGTTCATTATTTGGTCCTTTGTACCTCAGTGTTATTGATAGACTTTGTCATGTAAATACTTGCATTAGGTTTTCGGATCACATGTAACATTTGAACAGAACAGACACTGCATAGATAGATAATAAAGTCTCCTCCAGTGACCTCCCTTCACTGTCCATTTATCCAGCTTCACAGTTACTTATCCATGTAAGCACCTTTTTCTCCTATCTCTACTTTTTTTCTTGAAAGCCTGTGTTAAAGAGCTATAAATGTCTGTTGAGTATTGAAGTGTATCAACCTGATTTTCTGTTGTCCATGTGCTTATTGACTCCTTCAGATAATCTTAAATGATTTGGTTTGTGACTTGCACAAAAACTGTGATTCCTTCCCCCAGTGTATCATATGTAGGTATGTGTCCACTGATGCAATCTTTTCTACTTTTACCGCATTTGCGTTTCGCAAAACCTATCTTTATTATCCACAGAACCCTTTTTTTAAAAAAGTATGTGTTTTAGCCTCTTGCATTGGTATCCAAACCATGGGGAAGTTTAAAACAAGAGGTTATAAATAAGTTCACTTATATTAGCAGGTATTTGACACCTGAGTTCATTTGGAGTTTTTTGGTGAATGTTTCTGGTATTGCAGAGTCGTTAGCATTTGTCACTCCAAGAGCTGCTTCTGAGGCAGGTTCTTTAACACATCGCCTGTGAAGAAGGTGCTCAGCTTAGACTTTTATCTTCCTCTGCAGGGAACAGGGATGCAAGAAAATCTTTTACTTTTTGTTGTTGTTGACTTATCTTTTGAGTGGTTCTTCTCTGTATTGATCAGGTGTTCGCTGTATGGTCCTTCCTCATACCACAAACCTAGCTGTAGATGTAAAAGTCACATAAATCTAATTTTATCAAAGTAGTTGTTGATGTCTGAATTAGCCATGAGCAAAACCGGTAATCACTGGATGTATTCCCAATAGACACATGCACAGAGGCACACGCACACATACACACACACTGCTAACATGCCCAGCTTCACTGATCAACAGGGACAGAAATTAGTGTTCTTATTGGCACCCACATCAACACACATAGCATTAACACAAACATGAACATCACACATGTTCCTGTTCTGCCGCTGATCAGAAATGAAGCCCACTACTGAAATATATGCACACAGGATAGAGTTCTGTCTGGTAGCAAGCCTTAGATGCACAGTTTCTCTGCTATCTGCCCCCTAGATGCCAGTCTCCCAGAGCTGGTGGCATCTGGACCCACTAGCTCCCAGGGTTTGTCTTTCTACTCCAGTGGCTGGCACACAGACCTCTTACCCTACTTATTGATTCATCCAGCTTAAAGTTTGTTAGCATTCATGCACATATTCAGAGTAGGAAGCACACACACAAAGAGGGTAAAAATAGGATTGAATAAAAATACAGGATAGATTGAGATGATGGAGTGCAGGGTTCAGTCCAACAAGTTTACTGACCAGCCACCCATCTACACTCAGCCGTTCCCTTTTTCCCCTTTTGCCTCTGCTTTCCCACACATCTTCTTCCTTAATCCATCTTAATTGCTGCTTTACGTCATCTTTGGTCCTTCCACTAACCATCTCATAATAAGTTTTGCACAATCCCAAAATTCTTTACCCTTGGAATCACATAATAAATCTAATACCCCTTTAGGCAATGATGCTGTTTTAGTTTGCATGGCATTCTGGAGAGGAAGTTTCTTTTACTGAGTGATATTGGTAGGTTTCACACCAAGGACAGTAGTTTAAAAAATGTGTTTAAAAGACTGTTCTGCTAATGGGTACAAATACATACATACCTGTCATAGGCTGTCCTGTGCACTTGGATTTCTTTGAAACCTTCATAGCCTGCAATTAAGTATCACAAGGTGGCCTGTGCATTTCAGAAAAAGAACTTACTAAATTTTTAAATAAAATGAATATTAAATAAGAATTATTGTTTAACATATTAATCAGTGGGGCTGACATATGCTTAAAAATGAACATGTAAGTGGACACATTATGCTAACAAAGGCGTGCTGAACACTGTGGTTCTTTAAAGTCTTCCTCAGCATGATTGTTCTAGACCTTGTGCTGATTTCCTTCTGCCAGGTAACTGTAAGGTGAACAGCTTTTTATTTTGACAATAAAAGAATGCTAACTATCTCTTTCTTGACTTAGGTTTAAATTATTAATTTTCTAAAATAACTTTACTGTTACTGTTCAGAGGTTAAGTTGGCATGGGTAACGAGTGTTAATTGGGTTCTACCTAATCTGACAGTCAAAGTAGTTGAAAGAGACTTGATAAATGATGCTTCTTAAAAGATGATTTATTTTCAGATTTATTCATTGCTTGAGAGCTTTAAAGGCCTGTTTTTGTTATGCAAACTGGCACTGTGCTCTTTGAAAAAGAAAACAAAATAAAAAGCTACTGATATGACAGGGGAAATCTTACAAAATACCTTGAATATAAAATAGAGTCTGTGCTGAGCTCTAATGCATCTGAAGCTAATGTCTTTGAATCAGTCGGCAAGCAAGAGCTTTTCTGCTAGTGAACAGTTACGTATTTCAGCACTAGACATTGTTTAGATTCTGTAAACCAGCCTTTTTAAAATACCGTGAGACTGAAGTCCAAACATAGTTAACGCAAGTCAAAGATACCTAATAAGTCCAAAATAATTGAGTCACTTTTTTTTTTACCATGTAATAAGAAAGAGTTATTTTCACATTAAGAAAATCTTAAGAAGCAAGGCACTTGTAGTTACATTTGTCAGAAACATAATTTTCAGATTATGACCCAAACCCTGAAATCATGAAAGAGTAGGTAATTGGGATATTTCTTTCTCTTAAAAGATACCAAGCAGGCTTAAATAACCAATTGTACAATTATTTTCATCATTCAGGAAAGTCTGCCTGTAATGTTCCATGCATTTACAGCTTGTAATGTATTTTATTTTTGTTCATCCAAAAAGGATAAAAATCAGCAAAACACACTTAAAACTTGTTTTGTATTGCCAAATTGGTACTCTTTCTTCATGGAAGCAGGACACTGAAAACATCTTAAATTTAATCATATATTTGATGGGCAGTTATAGAAAGTATCTGGTGAAAGCAGATGCTTTTAAAATACAGTCATTAGCAAATACATTATTTAAATGGCAACTGAAACCTTTTATGGACCATTCTGTCTAAAGACACTTGCACTTTTTCAGATTATTTGTGAAAATAATTACAAAAATGTCTGAAGTTGTATTTGTGTTTTATGTTTGCTCAGCGTATAGCTGTTACTTGTTGTGGTAACTGTAACAACAATATGTGTAGCTGGTAGGTCCATTTTAAAAAAGAAAAAAGGAAAAAAAAACACCACAAACCCAAAACCGGACAGCTTCCTCTCTTTTGCCATGAGTGGCACTTTGATAGTGAAAGCTAATAGTCTTGCAAAGTTTTCAAGTGGATCCTAAGTCAGTTACTCATTACTCTGAAGAATCACCTAAAAGATCCTGTGTTTGGCATTACCCTCAAATCTTGGAAACTTTTTCTTCCCTGCTGACAAATTCCTTCCTCCTTGGGTAGTACTGTGATTTAAACAGAGCTTTTTGTGCTACAGAGGCTTTCTCTTTAATCCCTTCTTGTTCTGCCATCATTTGTCTAGGGGTACCTCTTTGAATTGCTCAAATGCTGAGGATTTTCCTTGTGCCCCTGTAATGTTTTTCAAAAATTCTAATCCTTATTCTCAACCCTTTGAAAAGAGATGAGAGAGAATTGCCTTATTTTGTAAGGCACAGTTACTCGTACATTTTTCTGAAGAGCTGTATATTTGTTGGTAGTCATTAATAACTGACCTGGCTTATGGATAGGTCGGCTGTCACCAGTACGAACTGATTTTACATAAAACATGCACCACAGTGAAGGGCAGTCATATGGACAGTTCACAAAACCAAACTGGAATTGCTAAATTGAAGAAAAATTCCCAAAGTTTGCAGTTTGATTCTCAGGTTAAGGTGTGAAAAAGTTACTGACTTATAAAATGCAAAAATTAGGCAGATTGCTCCATCCTTAAAAACCAGGTGCGATGGTGTCAGTTGCTTTTTTAAGGGCTCCTTCCTGAAAGCCAGTGGGTGAACCTAGACCTCTGTCTTTGTCTTGTGCTGAATCTAGATCAGGGTTTCTGTTCAGCTTTGCTACAATCTCTTGTTCCCTGCTTTGGACAAAGCTGCACTCTAACTTGTACTGCTTGTTGAGGCTGAAATTATGACTATAATGGATGTTGCAAAACAGTAAAGACTGGAATGAAGCATTGGCGCTTTTTATCTCTTGACAAAAAGTGCACACAAAGGAAAGAAATAAGCACTACAGAGGAATCTTGCGTTGTCTATGAGACTATGGCTGGAAGTTTAGCAGTCGTACGTAAAATTCATTTAGGAGAAGAATGTATCATCTGTGCAAAAGCTTTACCTTTAAAAATATGGAGCTTGCTAGCCAAAATTTATAGAAGTACTATGTACTATGCTACCACTTCTGTTTTCTGAGTGTATTTCTTTTTGCAGCTTTAAATGGTTCTTAAAAAAAAAAAAAAGAGAAAACTGAACTTACATAAGCTTTCAAAGGATAAAGTGTTTACTTCCTTGTTTAACTAATTAATCAAAACCACATGTGAACAGACTTTTTCTTTAAATAAATAAAGCAAAACTTGAAATCTAACAAAAGATAGACGTTTCAATGGGGGAAAAAACTGAATAAGGGAAATTACAGGAACAATTAATATTGAAAATGTAGTATCTATGTAATACATATGAATATATAGTCTTCTGGTATATTTACATTCATTTTATACATTTACTTAATTTCTTTCATTTTAAGGCCATGGAACATCCTTTAATATAGATTGTAATGTCTGTTCATGTTTTGCTGGAAACTTGATATGTTCTACACGTCAGTGTCTAACTGAGCATAGTTCAGAAGATGAACGTCGGAAATTTACAGGTAACTTTCCAAACTATGGAAACTGTAAGCTTAATATTCTTAGAGCAAGGATTAGCTTCTAAATTCTTTCTACAGTATTAATGGAAAATACCTGATAATTTGTAATTAATATGTTCTTGTAACTATTTATTTTTCTCATGTCCAACCTGCAGTTCACAAAACACACATTCGTTTTTAAAAAAAAAAAATCAGTACTGAAAAATAAAACCTCAGGTAATATGTAAAAATAGGTAGAGACAGGGTAGTGCCACTGGAGGCAAGACACACAGAGTTTGGGGAAAAATATCGAGAAAGCTGAGTAGAATTAGCAAGGAGGCAGGGCAGAAACTTCCCTTCTGACTGCTTATAAGTGCACATGTACTACAGCATTGCTAAACTGGAGGAGAGAAGAAGTGTCAGAAGATAGGGCACATCTTTGCATTTGCTGAAAGGCAAAGATACCTTAGTAACCCTTTGTGTATCTTCTGTCATAGAAAATAAGCGTGCACCAAATTCCTGTTTTATGTGTTGCTTTTACAGGTTTACCATGTAACTGTGTAGATCAGTTTGTACCAGTATGTGGTCAAAATGGACGCACGTATCCAAGTGCATGTATAGCTCGCTGTGTTGGGCTCCAGGACAATCAATTTGAATTTGGATCATGCAATGCCAAGGATCCTTGTAACCCTAACCCTTGTAATAAAAATCAGAGGTAAAACCAGAATGTTTTTAAGCTTTTCTTTGACATCATCTACTCGTGAAGCAGATTTACTTTTTCCTAGAATGTGTTGTATGTTGTAGTAACATTCTACTTTGGGATACTCCAATAAACATAACTGTTTGAAGTAGCTACTTTTTATTTATCATTGTTAATAATGGACTGTAATAACTGCCAATTCTTGGTTCAGTTTATGTAGTGCTATATCATTTAAATTCATTATGCAGATCTCAGTTTTAGCAATAAAAGAGAACTGATGCAGACTTTCAAAAATGGGAGAATCAAATTTTGTTGAAACGGCAATAAGCATCATTTTACTACTTTGTTTCACACCTTCTTCTAGTAGTTAAAAAAAACCCCACACCTGAATTCAAGACTTGGATTCAGTCTTGCTTATTCAGTCAATAATCTGTGGGTTTTATCTCTAAAATAGGAAAATGTCAATCACTCTGGAAGACTTGAGTTTCTTTTAATTAGATTGATATCTTGTGAAAACCATGTCTGTACAATCCCTGTTTTTTCAATGTCAGAAAACCCAAAATCGGTATAGACGAACATATTAAAAATAAATATGCTCTGTGTTAGTGTCAGAAGAAAAGAAAATCTGACCTTTCTTACAGAAATCAGAGTCTGTGTCTCGTGGTATTGGTCTCTGTCTTCAGTTTTCTCAGTGTTGTGCAATACTGCAGTGTCCTTTGAATTTGTACATTTTTCAGTTTTGAAAGAAAGCCACCATAAGAAGTTGTGTAATACTGTGCTTTCATGAAAACTGATTATAGAAATTTTTTTTTTTTTCCTTTTTCTGCACTTTAAATCCCTTGATGCAGAAAACTGCAGAGAAAACACTGTCGTTTTGTAGCTGTAATAGCCATTATGGCAGTGAAATCTGGAATTTCAAAGCTGCATTGTAGATAGATACACACTTTTTACCTTTTATATTTTTAATTTGGAAAGTATAGAGAGGTTTTTCAGTTTTATGGAATAACTATTATGCTTAGAACCTCAACTTGTAGTTTCAGTAAAGGACTGTACACAATACATTTTTCTGTATGTATGTAATGTATGTAATGTAGCGTAAACTAAACGTGCTCATTTTAAAACATCTCTGAAGTGCTTAGAATCTATTTAAGATCTTACATTGCACATCTTAAGTGTTTAAATCTCAGAATTTCTGACTCTTCCCTAATAAAAAAGGAAAATGTGTAATGCATAAGAGAGCAGCCCTCAGAGAAAATACGGATGTATTGCGCATAATCCAGTGGTAGCACTGTTATCATTTATAGGAGGAGGAGACTGTTAAAAAAGCCATTTGACCTTTCATCTGTCTATTTATTCATTAGACTCTATTGGCTGGCATTTCTCTAGCAGAGGGATGTCTTGCAGGGCGTATGGCAAATGTTTTGCCAATAAGACCATGGAAGGGACATATTTAATATAAAGGGCAAAAAATTTCTGCTGTTTATTGCTCTTTACTTCTTATCTGTGAAGGCCTGAGAGGCATAACATGCCAAAAAAGGAAATTATGTTAATACTAGATTTTTCCATTTGTTTGCAGTCATCCACAAGATTGGCTGTGATATAATATACTGAACCTACAAAGCTAGAATCCAATTAGATATTTGTAATTGAAACCATACAATCTTGTAAGTCTCGTTTTCACTACCTTCTCAAGGAAGGGTGAGGCTAGACCTCTGCAATGTAGTCTTTTTCTCTTGCAGTTCACTGTTTTCATGTTTTCTCTAGTTTTTCTTAAATATGCATTTACAAAATGAAGCTTGGGAGTAGGTAAGAAGTTTATCCAAGCCTTTTTGAAAATCCATTGAAGAATACTTGGTAAAAGATTAATTTAATGGAAACCGTAGTTGTGTTCACATACATTGACTAAACGTGGTTTGAACCAGTTTCAGGTTTGTGGTGAGACCCGAAATTGGCTATTCAGAATGTTTTATCACATGTATTTCCTGCAGCTCTG